GAAATCGTGACTGTCCCACCAAAATTGGGACGTCTGGTCACCTTACAATATGCTGACTCTGTAAACCGCTTAGAGAGGGCTGAAAGCCCTATGAAGCGGTATATAAGTCTAACTGCTATTGCTATTGCTATTTGCTATGGGCATGGGTTTTGCCAAAAATGGAAGTAAATGCTGGTTTTCAGCAAAACCACTGTAATATGCAGCTATGTGACTGAGGGATGCTGTAAGTGACTGTAAATGCGGCTTAGTAGCCAATTGCCTGAGGTGAAGTAATATAATCGTGTGGGGTGGGCACACCGGAACTTGAAATCCACTTAAGTATCCCCTAGGTATGTCCACTGGAAATTTGAATGGTGACTAAGCAATAGGCCATAAGTTGAGGACTACTTATAGCAACTATGGCTACAGTCCTAAATAGAACTCCCTTGCAATTAGACATATTGTACTCAGTAGGATTGACTTCTAAGTATAAGACCGGATATACAGTATATGTAGCTATCTTTATATATCTGTCTGTGCATTACAGGCCTATCTAATATGTGTCTTTATCCATGTACAACACGAAAGCAGAAATACCTCTTTGAAAATGTAGAAGTTAAGTAGGACCATCCCAAAGTTGTAAAAAATCAACAAGAAGCGAAACTGGAAAGGCTCCCTTGTCTTCATCCATTTAGGCCCAAGCCAAACAGCAAGGAGGTAAAGTGTGCTTATTATCAAGGTTGGAATAGGAGATTGCATCATAAGCCAGTTGTCAACACGTTTATCTGGAAGGAAACAGAAAGAATATGTCTGAGAATAGGCTTTTGCATCATGTTTTAAAATAAATTCACATACATGGAGAGCCTGGAGTGTTAACGTTTTAGCCGGTCGGTGGCATTTTCCCTCTTTCTCCTAGTTTTCGGTTTCCTCCCCTTTTTTGATGGGACAATAATTGTGTACACTATGTGTCAATTTTTGCTTTCTCCCTGAGGATTCATTTTTTTCAAAAGATGTTTGATACTCCTGCAAATTCAGGCTGCCTTTTTATTTTAACAACGAAACAATGTTGCTTTGGAAAACTGATATTGCCGTTTCACGCTAAATCATATGGACAAAATTGCAGACTTAAGAGTTTTATGCTTTGGATTACATTATAAATGTTACGTAAATTTACAAATGAGCACCACAAATATTTAAGTGGCTTTATGACTTTTTAAAAAATGTTTGAACAAAGGCTTGGTGTATAACATTTAATCCAAGAACCAATCATGTGCGGTGGTCTTATATGCATTAATATTTATACGTTCAGATCATTTTATAGTATTAACTCTGCTTTTGACATTAGAACTGTTATGTTCTGTTGAACTGATGTGAAGAGGAAAGAACTTTTCTTCTTCTGTCGCATATACAGACATGCATGCTGATTGGCGGAGCCCCATCAAAGCTGACACACTAGCCTGAGCATAAAAGAACTCGAAGAAGTAGTGCAACATCAAAAGATGTAGAGAGACCTGGCCCACAAAATCGTCAAGAGTCAGACATGAATGAATGGATAACTTCATCATCATCAATTGGTGGAGGGGGAAAAAATGCTTGGAAGAATAGTTATTCTTTAACATTCCATTGGACTTGCTTAAAGAGGACTTCCTTTTGACACATGTTTGAAAGTAACTATAGCAAGAGGGGATGTAAATTCTGGGAGTATCCAGGAAGAAAAAGTTAAGGCATTAATATATATAATCCTAACAGAAAGGGAAAGACATCAATAGCACACCATTAAGATAAACGGTGAAGAAAAGAGAGATTGGGACACAATGGTGCTATACCTGGGTACCTGTAGTAGTAGGGTTACCTTGCTAATAATGTTCACATGCTTTGATTATGCTATGTGAGTTCTGGAGGAGAGTGGGGATTTGCTAAACCTGATAACAGTTCACACAATCTAACTGGGATACGAGAAATCAAAATTACTATATTTGAGAAAGAAGAAAGGATAGATTTCACTCAACAAATATTGCTGGAATAAAATGCTGTAGTCACCTCTCAAACAGAAATTGCTGTCAAATTCCATGCAGCTGGGCAAGATCAAGGAACCATGGAAACAAAGATTGTTAATCTAGAGTCAATTTATAATTCAGGAAACTGTAATAGGAATTCCCAGCCTAATTTATAATGAATTAATTAAGGTGGAGTCTCTTTGAATTCTTTAAAACATTTCTTCCCTTGGGCTGAATTGTCATTCCATAGAGAGTGCCTGCTCTGTTTTATGATATTATTTCTGTCTCTTCTCTTCCTTTCCCACCCTCGATTTTTCACATTATGTCACCCATTGATAGATTAAAGAGGAATGGGAGAAAGTTGCAACCTTCTTTGATTCCCCTGTGCAGCTTTTTTTTTTTTAGATAACCCTTTTAATAGAAAAAACTTGTTACTTGAACATTGACTTTTCAAGTGACATTTACAGGATTTACAGGATTATGCAGGATTAGGTTTGATTAAAAGTATTTCTATATAAGCTGAGCTGAAGTTTGCCTACAAATGTACAGCTGTTATGTACAGTTTTGATTGACTTTTTGGAAAATGTAAGTTGTATCCTTTCTTTCAGCTGCAAAAGGGACCTTTTTAAAGCTGATTTTGTTCAGCTGACTCCATATCTATCCTGATACACCTGATGATATCTAAAAGGAGCTGCTGAGGAAGAGGTATGTAAATATACATGAAGGAATATAAATATGTATGAATGAAACACAAAATTTCTTTATAATTGGCATACACATTCAATGGGATAGATTCACAGGGAAAATTGCTGGGGGAGGCCAATCTGTGGTCGCTTTATGTTTACACTAAGGCTCATTTGATGTGATGTACTCGGTTCCAGAATTAGCTGAAGTCTGGAGGCTTCTTTGTTACAGCAACAGTTGTCTCTGCCATAACTATTCCCAGGCTCCAAACATAATAACGAGAAATTAGGCATGTTTAAAAAATGTCAGCTCTACGTTTTGGTAGTATACAGTTCATTTTTGACCCATTAGAATGGGTCCCATTAGAATGGGTCCCATTAGAATAATTTCCCATTAGAATGGGAAACAAAGACAGTAGTAACAACAACAGTTGACACTGAAACATAAAAAGAAAAATGATTTGCCTCCTTTGATTTCATCTGAAAAAAGTCTGGCAGTTTTTTCATCACAAATTTCTCCTCATTCTGATCTCCATAGGATCGATCTGTCTAAATATGAGCCTGTCACTTGATATTTTCAGAAACCACAGAAGAAGAACTGCTTACTTGCTTCCTTTCTTCCCTAAGACAATATTAACTATTCCTTCCTTTGGGGAGACAGCAGAGGTGAAAAAAAATGACAGCTTGGATGAAGTAAAATAGGAAATTGATGAATATAATTTGCACAGGCTGTTTTCCTTCCCTTGAACAGAAGAGCTCAAATCCAAGGAATTACGTTAAGCAATTATCAACTGCTGCAGGCCCAGCACTATATAAGGAAGGAATATCCTGTCCACAGGGATTTGACAGATTTTCAGCACCTAAAAGCTACCCAGATCCACACAAAGCTATATAAGGTGGGGACACAAAATGCTAAGGGCAAAATGGGAACATGATTTAAGTTATCTAGGTCTCAACTACAAAGGGAACGAAAATATACCTTGTGATTTATTATTCTGCGTCCCACAGCAATTGATTAAAAAAAAATCAGGTTCTGATATTTAATCACGTTCATTTTGTGACTTCCTTTGCTGCCACAGATGATGACGAATGCTTCTGATCATCACTCACAGATGTAGTTAAAACTTGATTTTGACCTAGAGAACTCTGATAATACAGGGGATATATTTGCACTCTACTTTTAGGTTGAGCAAACAAAGCAGATTGAAAAGTTGAATTGAACTTGTAAGAAAAAAAAATGAGAGTTCAGATATCCTATTCGTTTTGGAAAATAAAGCTTAATTATATAAGTATTCACTAAGGAATAAATGCCAAGCTCGGTACTTATTCCAAGTACATGAATATAGGAATAAAGTCACGTTTTTTGAGATGGTTGGTTATATAAATATGATAAATGAATGAATAATGGGCCTTATTTGCTGGAAGTAAAGAACTCTAAGTACATTGATTTATCTTAGTTTTCCCAAGCAGGTCTCCTCTTCATTGCTGACTGGGAGTGCTAAACCAGTCAAGAGTTTTCTTCAGCATTAGCTGACAGATACAGAGTTACTCAATCCAACATGTCAACACTGCATTTCTCTGTGCTTGTTGCTATTTCTTTCAAAGAATAGATTTCAACGGTTTCAAAGAAGCAGCTACATTACTGTGTCTTAGTATCTTCATCACTTAGTTTCAAGGATTTTTAAAAAATATTTAGCATACCCATTTTAATGTAATATAGCAGAGTTGATCTGTTCATATTTTTTTATTTTTTTATAAATCTTAACTATAAATACTTTTAAATCTAAGAGATATTAAAATAGAATTAGCATGGACTCTTTTGTTGCTCCCATCTGATAGAACTTTTTCCCAGGTATATATCAAACTTTTGTCATTGTTCTGGTTTCCTACAGTTATACTTTTCCCATAATTGTCCTTACTATATTCCGTGCTAATTTTTTCTATTTTAGGCAAAAATTTTAGGCAAAAATCAGCAGGGTATCACATATTCTGTCATACATGTAGACCTTGACATATGACTGTAATAGAGCCTGACCATTACTGTCTCATATATCATTATGGTAAAAAAAAAATGATTGGTTATGTGACTGACCTGATTTTACATCTTTTGTGAACATTGTTAAGCAAATGCAGTGGTCATTAAGGAAAACAATGGAAGTAAATGCCAGTTTTGGGCAAAACTACCATAACACACAATCACAAAGCACTACAACTGTCCATAAGTCAAGGACTCAGGATGAATTAGTACCTTGAATCCCCTCAATGCAATAGGTAAATAGGCCTATAAGATATAAATGCCACAAAGCAAAAATACAGGAAGGAATCTCAATCCATTTGGTTTTACTTCCAGGGGTAAAACTGTGACATAGCTGATAAGAGTTTGCACTATTTTTTAACAGATGGAAAATAGATGGCATCCACTTTTTTATAATTCAAATGCAGGTATGAATGTATAGATTTCTATTCTATGTTGCCCTCGGAGTTTGGCTTCCTGTAGAAGCCAGTGCACCAGGCATAAATCCAGTAGCTTCTGCAGTCACACAGTACATGCTATATAGAGGAAAGAAGCCTCTCTCTCCTGCTTGTACGATGAGTTATGAAGTATGACTAAAGAGTGTTTCTACTGTATCCCATGTGAATGAGTTTCAAATAGTTGCAGCTGGGATGGAAAGCCATTTGTTTTTCCAAAAGTACTTTATCTTTTGATCTGATATATCAAAACTGTGAAAAGGCTATCTTCTTTTAAAAGATGTGATACTGAATTCGAAAAAAAATACAAAACCAAACAAAAATGTATAAATTTACAAAACCAAACAAATATGAAGACAGAGAAGGGATGAGTGTTTAAGCATTAGCGCCTCATTAACTCAGAAGGTGAGTTAATGATTGACAAGCAAACTCTGATGGACTGTGCCTGTGTCTAGAATTGGTTGGAGTTTCTGGCAAATTGTATAAATTTACAAATTATTAACAAACCTTTGGGTTTATAGCAGCCCTCAGTTTGTGTAGATAAAACTGCTTTGGGATATTTTAAATTGGATTCGGAAGGACTATGGGATGGAAAGACTGGCTTTCTCGAAATGCATGTTTACTATGCCTCACTTC